TTGTGCATTTGGAAGATAAATAAGGTAATATAGGAATATTACGTACATGAGAGAATTTTGATTGAAATGTGTTTAATTATTGTAGAATGAGTTGGGGCGTGTTTCAAAGCAGCTTGTGGACCTGGTATGTGTATTGGTTGAATTTTTTGAACTTGTTTGGGATTGGACCTTAGGGAAATCATTTAGGCGAACAACTTTTGCATGCTATAAGTTTTTTTCTATCCATTTAGGAACATGAGTCTTCAGAACTTAAGAAGGAAAGAAACAAGGAGGATCAGCTTACAGTCTCCAATTCAAACAATGAGGCAAAAATTGCTAATTTTAAAGCCATCAGCATCTCTGACAGAGAACATGGAATCCCTGTAGACGCTCATGGAGTTGTACAAAAATTTCCAAATAGAAAATCTTTTAACAATCCGATTAGCCTGCATATAGGTGAGTGGTTAATTTGAGACATATTTGGATTTGTTTAATCTACCTCTCTAATTTAGTTCTTAAAATATTCTTTTCATTCCTCTGTTCCTTGTTTTTGGTAGCAAAGTCAAGCTGTCAGGCAATTGGAGTTCAGACAGATTTAAATGCTTCTCTTGATTTTTCCGAGAAGTTGCAGGACATCTGGGGTTTGCCAAGTCAGCAAAAGTTTGGAAGAAATCTGATATCCAAGTTATTTGCAGTTTGTTCGGAAGATATTGATGTCCTGTTTGGGTTAATTAATATGAGCTCACCTTCCAAAACTCTGGAACTACATGCAGTTAAGAGCTCTGTCGATATGACTTTGAAGAGCTCCACTCATCCTTTCCTTAGCGCAGAAGCTGCAAAAGTATCTCGTTTCTACTCTGCTTTGACAAAGGTCTTGCTTATTCCTATAGTTTCTTATAGTTGTTCAAACATGATATTGTTAGTGCATGTACATCTACCATCTTTAGGCCAAAAAAAGTATGAGACATCAGCAATTAAAAACAGGATTTCTTATGAGAGATTTATCATGATAAGTTAACTGCTAAGTGCTAACTATTCTAGCCTCTTTCCCCTATCTCAATAACCAAAAAATAAAGTTCCAGTGTGATAAAGGTGCACCCTAGTTCATTAGGCTTTTGCATTGTGAGGCCTGGGGACTGAGGAGAGTCAAATAGAACAGCCAGCCTTACTCTAGGTTAGAAGATGGGCTATTTCTGCTACTTGAAACAATCTGGCCTCCGGTTCCAAATGAGAACAATCAACAATCTTACTTTTCTGCCAATGGTCATCCTGAAGTTCCAATCTTAAGAATGAATCATTTTAACTTCTTGAAGATCAGATCTATTGAAAATTAGGCATGGGAATATGTGATCATGACCTTATTTGCGATATTGATCTCTATTTGGAGCTAATGTTGGTTTAAGTGTTAATAGTTTCTGTACCGATTGATTTATTTCCATGTTGCAGATCAGTAGTGGAATGTTGCAGCTTCAGGCTCTATTGGAATCTTTGTTTGATCTCTGTACTGCTGAAAACGTGAGTTGCAAATTTCTTATTTGAACGTGGTACGAGAATGGCTAAGGAATCTGTAATTTTAGTTGTTGAAGCAATGTGTTGTTAACCTTTTTCACCTAAGATATAATGGATTTGAATAGTTTAATATATACTAAATTAGCGTGCAATATTCATGTTAAAAAGTTGGAAGATGAAAATATGTTCTAGTAATTTCAATGCCCATTTATTAGATGGCAGTTATGGTGGTTTCCTGGGCCTTAGACCTTGTAATAGATCAGAGCCTCTATATCAATCAGGAGCTAATTGTGGAGCTTATGAGGAATAAATTCCCTTTCCAATTTTTAGTATTAAATAATTTTTTAGATGAGGACTCTTTATGTACTTAGCTGCTTAGGTAACATGAAAACCTAATATCCCCCTTAGTTTCATTAGCTATTTGGCGAGTTCTGTAGGACTGGTTGGATGGCCCTGTATCACAAAATTCCACATTTTTGGAACTGCTGAAAGAAATTCTTTAACATCATATGGCAATAACAAACTACTTAAACAGTGCTATGTCTTCCCTCAACCCCCTCATTGCCCCCTTTCTCCGGCCCCAAAAAGCCAAAGGTTGGTTGATCATGCCTTGTAAAAGTCTACAATTTGTGTGTGGATGTGTTCTTTTTGTTCAAAGTAGGAAGTTTTACTTTTTTTATTGAAAACTCCTGAGGATCATCGTTTTTGATGCAGGTAGTTATTGTCTATAGATCACTGCATATACTACGTGTCTTGTTGAAGCATCTTGTTACTTTCGAAAGGGAATCCAGAGGAAGGTATGGCTAGTACTTGTGTGTTGTTTCTTCTCGTTTTCTTTGTAACATGAGGTTTTTATGTGCTTTCGTTAAACCTTGATTTGTTTTGGACCAGTACAATTAATCTCTTTCTATATGCCAGAAAATCGGGTTGGGTTTATGCATTTCTTCCCTTATTATTATCTTTATATATATACTGGAAAGAGGAAATATTAGTGTTTAAAATTGTTTTTCCTATGCCTTCCCGCAAACAGTTTCTGTTGGTATTGTCTATGAAGCAGTGTTTTTTACTTTTCTCTTCCATTTTTCTATCGCATGCTTTTTATTTTGCTGTAAATGCTGTATGTTTTAATAAAGGAGACCTTGTAAATGTTGATTTACATTGCGTGCTTATGAACTTTGATTTGATCTTTCCAGTGCACTCTACTCAGGGAAAACTTTTTGGTTGAGCATCTTCACTCTTGGAGCGGAACTGATGATATATTTGGATATGAAACTAGAGATCGGGCTTGCATTGGCATGGATGAGGCATTTTCAAGTTCCGTGACAACTGGAGTAAGATCTTCTGAAGCAAAATATCTGTGCAAGAAAGGCCGCTATGATACTAGCTCTGCATCGTTGTTTTCCCATATAAACTGGATTTATCTCTTTGAATTTATGCGTCTCATTTTGATGAAGAGTGGTGAAGAATGCGTAAGATTGGAAGCAGTTTCGATTATGAATGTGATTCTGATGAGAAGTGATGCTTACACAGATAGAGAAAAGTAAGTTTGTATGCTTTGCTCTTTTTTTTCCAAATTTCCAGGATGATGTGCAACTTTTATGTTCTAAAAGCTATTTTACTTGTTCTAGGTTTGGCCTCAGTCAAGTCTTTGAAAGTATTTCACTACTACTGAAAAAGGAAGCTGGGCTGCTTGTACAAAAGGAGGCTGTGCATGCTCTCTACCTGCTTTTAAATTGTAAGTGAATGGTTGTTCCTTCTACCTCTTGTTTCATCTTCCTTTTAATTCACGTGAGAAAAATGTGTTTGAAATATATTCTTCTACCATGTAGTTAGTTGATCTATCAGCCTTACTAGTTTTATTCTGCTTTAAATCACATGTTGCTTTAGGGATGGCAACACTTTAAATATTAAAGTATTTAGTTACTAATATGAAGACAGACTATTGGGCCCTTTCAATAAGAATATTCTATCAACAATTTTTTGGTACAAGAGGGGTGCACCTCAGCTTGAACCTAAGATCTCCATCTCAATCTCCTTCCTGCAGTCGCCTGAACCTCTTTCTCCCTGGACTTCATGTGTTCTTTGGTGGTCTTCAGGTTTATATGGCCAGGATAGAATGATGTCTTTTGACCCCTCTCCAATACAGTGTTATTTTTCAATAAAAATGAACCGAAATAGATTTTATCACTGCCCGTTCCCAATGCCTAATGGTTCTTTGTTGATTGAAGGTCCTAAATTGGTGGTCACATTCTGCTCTGGTTGTACAATGGAGACAAGTGATGCTGCTGCTAATGACAATGAAAACACAGCTGCTATCCAAGGATTCACAATGATTCTTGAGGGGTTGACTGTATCTTGTTCGGGGGTTTACAAGCTTGTTCGGGGTAGTTACATTAAAGAACTTCTTGATTTATCTTATTGATAATGCATTATTGGTACTGCAAGAACTTTTGAAGTTTAGTAGATTATCCAAGATTTTCCTAGAAGGCCATTGTTTGTTTTTATCTGATAATAGTTATGGAATATGATTTCTGAATCAATTAACTTTTCAGGCCTTGGAGCTACGGAAAAATGCCATCACCTTACTCGCTTTTGTGGCCTCATCTGGAAAATCTGGTTTTGAAATACTAGTGAATAACAAGCTATCTAGAGAAGTAAATTTTCTAACTCTAATTATGCAACTGTTGGCATCTGAGATAGACTTGGAAGCCACTGTAAGTACCGAGTCTGATGAAACCTTAAGAGCAAGGTAAGCAATCTTTTTTCTGTTATATACGGAAAACAATGCTGCCAATCTTTGATGCTTTATTTATCTGAAACAATGTCTGCTCATGTTCTAAATCCCTTCTCTGCAGGACATTATTGATACGGGAAGTGCTGATATTACTCAATAGACTCGTGTCAAACCCTGTACAGTCTGCCACGGTTTTACGATTGTTGACTAACAGCAGGGATATGGCCAGTTTAACCATTGATGTTGCAAACAGATTGTCCAGAAAAGAAACAAAACTAAGGCTGTCCGACAGCATAACCAAGCAGATGAGAGAATCTGAAATTGTTGATTTGGGACGAATGTTCAAGAGAAGGGTTTCTACTTATCTCGGAGAGTGACTTGTTGTGGAATAAAAGATATATAATCATCAAATTTTTTGAGGGATAGCTCCTTCCCAATTACGGCTCTTTCTTGGAGAAAGAAACCGAGTGTTCAGTGCGGCGTGGCAGTGATATTGGGTGAGATGCCGGATGTAAAACGATACTATCAGGAAATTTTGGCTATATATTTTGATGTAGTTCAAGCCAAATCAATTTTGTAACTCATTTAGCTGATTCCTATCTCTACCCAAGCAGCTTATATTTGACCGCATTGTGCTCGTCATCGTTTCGTCATCTTGAAAATGGTTTCAGTACATCATACATACTTTAGCCAGAACATTAACTAAATCAATGAACAAATATACTTCACTTGATAAGAACAATATGTGAAACAATTGGCAAAAGGCTGAAAAATGCATATAATCTTAAACCAAAATGTAAAAAAATGCATCATTTGAAACGACTTTGAAGCGTATCAGTATTGATGGAACTGCCCATCTCTTTCTCGCCTGAACTCTCAATGGAGTAGACCTCCCATTCTCCATTTCTCCAGTAAGTATGGTAAACTTCCGGGATGTTTGCATCAGGACCAAGGGTCATAATCGAATCCTCCGGCATATCGAAAAATTCAAGAACTTTTAAGTTGGTCAGATATTCAATCCCTAATGGCACCCTTTCCAGCAGTTTACAGCGTTGGATGCTCAGCTTTTCAAGACAAGGCATTGCTCCATCTTCCACTTGTATGCATTTCAGTCCTTCAAATTTGTCTATACCCAGTTGTTTAAGCCCCTTAAATCCGCCAGCCTCAAAATGTAAAGTGTCTCCTTCCACGGCTTGCAGCAGTTCAAGATGTACAAGATTTGGCAAGTTTTGAAGGGATTGAATTGCATCATTTGGCAGCCTACTCCATTTCAGATATATAACTGCTAGGCTTTGAAGTCTAGGTATCCAATCTGGTAACTTCTCTAATCGCCCATATAAGTATAGCCTTTGAAGTACTTGAGGAGGAGAATAAAGTGATTGCAGATCAATGAACTCTTCCTTCCCCGATGAAACGATCGACAATGCTCGAAGATTGGTCAGCTTTTCAATGGATGAACACAACAGGTTTCCATCTTCTTTTCTTAAGTTTGTAATGCCTAGTCTTCGAAGCTGCACCAGTTTTCCTAGCTCCATAATAAGGGCATTATCATGGTTTACATCCATAAAACAGAGCTTTTGAAGGGATTGTAGAGCTCCAATACCAGACAGTGCCTGAAAGCCATATTTCGAGTGAAAACGTGAATACGAGGTAAACTCGTAACGATATACCAGAAGATGACGAAGTCTTTGGAGCTTTAGGACCTCAATCGGCAATTCGGAAACTTGGGAGTGCTTAAGGTCCAATGTCTCCAAGTCCTGAAGCTTCTTAATAGAGCTTGGAATCGTCTTGATGTTGGTATCTCTCAAACTAAGATACCTTAAAAGTCTCAAGTTGCTAATTTCCTCAGGAAATGTCTGTATAGGCGCAGCTCGCAAATCCAACACCTTAAGCAGCCTGCAAATGCTAGGAATCAATGTGTCTGTAGGTGAACAAGGAACGGGATCGCCATAATCAAACACGAACAAGGACCGCAGATGAGAAGCCTTCATATTTTGTTGTGCATTTACCAGTGCGTTATGTATTGCCAGGCGGCGGACCTTATCAGACCATGTCGAATTTTGCTCTTTAGCAACTGCAACAAAGTTCTGATCCCTGGCACTTGAAATGATGATTTCTCGCATAAGGTCGTGAATGCGGCATGTTTTGATTCTTCCGTCGTTTGCTATACCGGCTATTTGTATCAAGCTTCTATTCAGGAGTTCACCAAGGTAGTCCTCTGCAACTTCTTCTTGTGTCTTACCTTCTTTGGCTTCAACGAACCCTTCGGCTATCCACAATCGAATTAACCTCATGTTCTCAATCAGATGGTTCCCAGGGAAGAGGCTCAAATACAAGAAACAAGATTTCAAGTGGTATGGCAAATCATTGAAACTCAGCAAAAGAACTTCTTTGAAATTGATAAGTCTGCTATTGTCCTCCATTTCAGCACCGAGGCCACGGTAAACCATCTCCCATTCCGCAACTGTACGCCTTTTCGTCGCCAAAACACCACTAATGGCCACAATTGCGAGTGGCAACCCCTCACACTTCTCCAAAATAAGTCTAGAATGTCTCTCCAATTCAACTGGACATGAGTCCTTCCGGAAACACTTCTTACAGAAAAGTGTCCACGACTCGTCCACAGATAAAGGCTCTACAGTGAAGACCTTATCTTCAGATTCCGCACACGACGTCGAAGCTACTTCGGAGTTACGCGTCGTGATCAACACACGACTCCCACAACCATCGTTAGCCAACGCATGATCGAGCATTTCCCATTCATTCAAATGCCAGACGTCATCTAAAACAATCAAGTATCTCCTTAGCTGAAGGAAGCCCTTAATGATCATCTTAAGCAGACTCGGATCCATGTCATCGATACCTCGAGGAACCGGCTTCCTGGATGCGTCAAAGAGCTGGCGTACCATGTTTCTTAGCAGCTCTTCCATCTTGAAAGGATGTGAAATAGTGATCCAAACATGTACAGCGAAATGTTTCTTCACTCTGGCATTGTCATAAACTTGCTTCGCCAAGGTGGTTTTCCCAGACCCGCCCATTCCGACCACCGAAACCACCTTCCGGCCGGAGTTTCGAGCCACCAACCAATCAATGAGTTGCTCTTTGGACTTGTCGATACCTACTAGATCAACACCATCTAGAAGGAGGGCATCCCCTCTTCTATCCATACATGGATTAACAGTAGAAATGGAGCTCGGACCTTGCTCGTTCATCCCATAGTAATCAAAATTCGGACGCCGGGAAGATGCGTTGCTGATTCTGGATTTGATGACATTAATCTTGGAAGCAATCCGATGCTGGGTTTTCAAGTTCTTGGTGAAACAACAAATATTATGCAGAAAAGCATCGATCTTGTCAACGTGATCGTTGGCAAGGTCGAGCTTGTATTCATCCAGGATATCTTCAGTATCGTAAGCAATCTCTCTTACTTGCTGAACCCATACCTTGAGTTCTTGGTTACTCTCACCCGCAGAGTCTGCAACTCGTAGGATTGCCTTCAAGCTCTGTAACTCGTCCTTGATGTACTCTAAATCTTCGGGAATCCCTTGCAAAAGCTCCACCTCGTTTTGAAGAAAAGATGTGAGCTTTTCAAGGAGAAATGATACTGCAATTTCTGCCATAATAGATTAGCTTTGGAACTTTGGGAAACAAATAATAAAAAATTGGTATTGTTTGCTTAAGATGATTTATGACTTGAAAACCCCTTCATTTATACTACCTTGGCATAGAATTTTCAAAACATATACTTGTGTACACCATTTCTAGACGCTATAGCCACTTTCATGGCAAATACTTGGAAATAGCTGCAACCCGAATCTGTAAACTTGGACGGCTTCAACCATGGGCGGAGCCACATGTTACTTAGCGGGGTGGAATAACACAATTTTTCTATAAATACTTTTTAAATAAATTTTATATAAAAAATAATCAAAATAAAAATAACATATCTTTAGAAAAATATTAATATATCTTAAACGTTAAATTCTAAACCTTAAATCATAAACCCTAAACCTTAAATACTAACTTTAGAAAAATATATCGTTTTACTATGAGTTGAAGAAATATTTATTTATGAGTTATAAATTTTAATTAATTCTAAGCTATTTATTTATTTAAATATAAAAACCATAAATTAATGAAAAACTTATTAATTATATATATATATATATATATATATATATATATATATACATTTTAATTTTACTTTATTATTTTTAACAATCGACCATAGTGGGTTAATGGGACAATCAAATATTTTAGGTTAACTCAAAAAAAATTATATAAATTTTGCTTTGATTCTGTTTAAAAAACTCATAGTTGGAGTGCAGGAAGAATTTTAATGATAGAGAATTTTTGTGCATTTAACCTATACATGAATGTTCTTACTATTCCGTTGACTTTTAATTACAAGTGGTAAATCTTATAGAATAAATTTATTATTATTTAATTTTTGTTAAATCAAATAATTAATCCTATAAATAAAGACAAAACTAATCATTTACTGTGTAAAATTAAAAACGATAAAACAAGTTGAAGTATTGTCTACTAATTCTTCGCAAAAAGATTTGGCCGGCGGGAATTACTTAAGAAGTAAGCGCGTGGACCTGATTTTTGCGTTTATTCTAGAGGAAAATATAATGGGAAATTTCGCATGCATGTATAGGGATGGGCATAGGTCGGGTTGGGTCTGGTTTTTGATCCACCCGACTTGATCCGAGAAGAAGGGGACCTCTATCCGTGACTCGACCCGACCCGACCCGATAGATAATTTAAAAAATCTGACTCGATCCGACCCGAAATAATAATAAAAATTATTTTTTATTCAATAAAAACAGTGACTAAATTGAAAAAAATAATATATGGAGAGGTATTATTATAATTATTCCTAAATATATAGGGTAAAATTATATATTTTTTCCCGGGTCGGGTCGGGTCGGATTTTTTTCACCCTAAATCCGAACTCGACCCGACCCGAACACCACATAAAAAAACGACTCGAACCCGAATTTTTTAAAGAAAAATCCGACCCGATCGGGTCGGATCGGAACCCGTCGGGTTCGGATTAGATGCCCATCCCTATGCATGTATGAGAGAGATGCCATCTTGATTCCCTCGATTTAGGGTTTTATAATTTTGATTTTGGTTTTAACATTTTTGTTCATCTTTCAGTGCTCATCAATCACTTTCAATGGAAGACCCTTACCATCGGTTTTGGATTCTAAACAAAAGCAAAATTGTTTTTAAAAAAGCCCAAATGTTTCAAAATATCAAAATGACCCCTAAGATTTAAAAAAACCCAAAAACCTAAAAATCTTTAATTCAAACCCTTATATCCAACCCTCATATCAGCTGTCGTCGGTCATCACCGACCGTTTTTACCATCGTCAAACGCCAAACTACTCTTTGCCAGATCTCCACTGCTGATCATCCTTTTCACTATAGTCTCATTCCTCCTAAATCCATAAATTCCTTAAAGATTTAACCTAATACCCAAATTTCTATCCCTAATCTCATTATTATTAATTCAACCCAAATTTATTTTTAAATACAATTATTGAAGGATGGGGACGATGGGAGAGCACGAAGGGATGATATGAAGAGCAAATGCGAGGGGGGTTTATAATTATGCTGGGGGAGTTTTTTTTAATTAAAATATATTTTTAAAATAATATTTCTAAAAAATGAGAGCGGCAAGTGATAGTTAACGGTTAAATTTAATGTCGCTACAAACCAAATACTTAAAAGTGTAACGTTAAAATATTAGACACATATTTTTACGAAACATTCTGTAGACACCTAAACTTAGGGATGTCAATGGGTCGGGTCGGGTCGGGTTTTTGGGCCACCCGACCCGACCCGAGAAGAAAGGGTTTTTCACCCGTGACCCGACCCGACACGACGAAATTAAGGTTTCACCCGACCCGACCCGACCCGAATATATGACTTAGAAACCCGACCCGAAATAATAATAAAAAAAATTTTATTCAATGAAAACAGTGACTTAATTGAAAAAAATTATATATGGAGGGACATTATTGTAATTATCCCTAAATATATAGGATAAAATTATATATATTTTTCGGGTCGGGTCGGGTCGGATTTTTTTCACCCTAAACCCGACCCGACCCGACCCGAACCCGAATTTTTTTAAAAAAATCCGACCCGATCGGGTCAGGTCGGGTCGGAACCCGTCGGATTCGGATTGAGTTGCCATCCCTACCTAAACTCATTTTAAATATAATTTGGATACTTATTTTTATATTAAGCCTTTTAAAATTATGCCCATTCATGAAGGTCCATTAATTTTGCTCAATGGTCTAATCATACAACTAATCCTTTCATTTCCCATTTATTTACACATAAGAACATCTAAATTTCCAAAGTTAACACTTTAGTCCTTGCACTTTGAATCTTTACAATTTAGTCCATGATTGGAAATCAAATCAAAAACATAATTTAACCAAACCAAACCCGTTTAACTAGACATACATTCAAACAGGCTTCCAGAAATTAATTTCTAATCATCGTATGTTAGAAAAAAAATTGAACTAAATTTTAATATATTAGAGCCACTTTCATAAATAATCTTTGTAGGTTACTACTTTCATAAACAATTAAAACTCGATATATACCTAATAAAACCACAACTCTTCCCATCTTATTTTGAAAACTATTTGGGTAAACAAAATTCTTTTTTGTGCAACGTTGTGTAAGTTTATTCTTTTTTGGTACACTTATGCCTAACTTTTCTATTAATGGTATAATTAGGCATTTAACATTTTTGTATAGTTAGGTTGTTTAAATTGTATTTTTCTTTATTATAATTTGATACCTATCATTTTTTAATCATATATATTTAATTTTAATTTGTTTATATTTATAATTTTAATATTATTTAATTAAAGAGATAATATATATTACCTATTCAAAACTAAAATGTTAAAATTTTAAATATAAAGCTTCTAATTTATATATATATATATATATATATATATATATATAATTGCATCCAAAATTGAAAGTTGAATATCTAATGGTATAAAAGCAAAATACTTAATTAAATTGAAAATCGCTACACACAAATATAAAAATTGATATGAACCAAGCGACCCCGACGATAGGAATTGTTGTTAACGCTTCAACTTTGCATGATTTTATTATTTTTTATTCTTCGTTTTAGAGTCGTTTTTATAAAATTTGAACCACATAGTCCTCTATCACTTTAATATCTATGCAATTTCAATTTTTACAATAAATTTTATTTTTTAATTTAATCCCTTAAATTTACATAATATTCAATTTAATCCTTTGACTACACCTTTTTGTAAATCATTTCTTCTCGTCAATTCCTTGAATATTTTATACTTTAATCAATACTTTATCTTCAAAATGTTTTCTTTAAAAAATATTATGAATCTATTAAATTATTTTGAATGATATTTGGTTTATTAAATGATATTATAAATCCTACTTACACATATAAAAATAATATGAATATATATATGAAATTTATTTAAATTAGTATTGATTAATATGATGTTATTATTGTAACACTCCAAGTTCCGGACTAGTAGTTTCGAGTTTACCTGAGATGTATGTGGATCATGTGGAGTTCATAATTAAAGTTGTTGGGCCAAGTTTGGGATTAATTGGGTTGAAACTAAGTCCAATAAGTTATAAAATGAGATTTTTAAATATAAGGCAAAGTGAGAATGACCAAAGGGTAATTATCCCATTTGTGAAAACATGAGAGCTTTATATCTTCCTTCATCTTTTTCTTTTCATTTCCTTATTTCTTATTTCATACTCCTCATTTCCTCTTCAAGTGTTATAGCTAAAGTTAAGTTCTTGAGGATCTTTTATACTTCTTTATGCTTCAAATTCATCTTCAATCCCTCCATCAATCTTGGTTTGATGTTTTAAAGCCTTGGGTTTTTTATAACTAAAGAGAAAGTGATGGTTCAGCAGCTAAGTCTTGGAGGAAAGTGATAGCTAACTAAAAGGAGCTTCATTTCGAGATTCTAACATCAAAGTAGTGTATTTCTAATCCTTTGAAGTCTTAAAGTTTTCATAAGCATGAAGATTTGTTATGATTTTGGTATTTAAACACTTTAGGGTTTATGCTTAATTTCATGATTATATGACATTGTTGGTGTAAAACATGTGTTTTATGATACTTTATGACTCTAAATAGCTTCCCTAAGCTTAGAACATGATTTGGAACCAAACTAAGACCTTTTGGATGATTTTTGGTGTTTTCTAAACTTAAATAAAGTTGTTATGGGTTCACATACCTATACTATGTGAACAATATCGATACTGGATGATCAGTATCGATATTGGATGATAAGTATCGATTTCTACGCATGTTATAAGAGGAGTATCTGTAATATCCCAAAATCAGGGTTAGTGACTAAAATAGAACTTTTGAAACTTTGAAGTATGATTTCAAAAGATTGTAAAATATAGGGACTTATTTGTAAATATTTTTGAGGGATTGTTGGTAATTATTAAATGAAGTAAAGGGTAAAATGGTCATTTGACAAGGAAGATTTTTATTTTCCCTTATAAGATAAGGAAACCACGTGGGAAGAGGAAAAAAGAAGTTCCGGAGTTCTCTTCATCTTTCTTCTTTCT